TTGGATGTTGTTTGAAGTGAAGGTAGTAGCAGTAGTGATAATAACCCACATAGCACATTAGTATTTAAAGGATCTCAAACACACATATTTATTTAACCTTTTAGAAAACAATAAGCAAATATTTAGATATTTTGCATTTTCACACAGGCCTGTATTTGTGTTGTTCCCACTTAATGCTGGTATTGTATACTGGTATGTTAAATAGTTTGTGTGTTTTTCACGTGAGTTGCTGGTGGCCGTTTCAGGTTTATTTTAAAGACTGTGAAACTGGTCTGATCACATGTAAAGTGTGTTAAATGTAAAGCAGAAGCACGGCAGTATGGGGGAGGAGAGTAACCTCAAAGCAATCATTCTGCAAACCTCTTTTTAAGTACAGTGAGTTCTGTGTTAGTGTGCAAGTTTGAGAGTTCATTCCACACTGTAGTTATTCAAGTTCATGCTGTCTCTACCACCTGTGCCAGCCCACCCTAGTCTCAATTGCCCCTGTCACTCTGTACAGCCTGCGTTTGGATGCCATTGCTTAAGTCATCAGATCAGAGAGAGGTTGCAAGTAGCAAAGTACTCCTCAGTGTGTCTGCTTTTCGTGATGGAATAAATGCAGGAGGAAGAGTTTTCACATATTTCTTAAAGGAATGTCACACAGAGCAGTTACTGATATTCACATAGGGTTTTACTCCACTGCACCCCCTCTACCCATTCAATTGCTTAAACAGGCTCTTCTGTGTCTCACTGACACAAGCACACATAGTGACTGTCTAGCCTAACTGGAATTACATGTGTTGAACAGTTGTGTTTTACAGTGGCTGTCTGCCCCGCAGCCTTGTGCTGTAATGTAAAACATGATTTGCTTAGCATAATTTATGCCCATGTGCGACATACCAAACTATCAGGAAATGAATGAAGTCAGAGTTGTCCAACTACAAGTGAAATGGTTTTGTGTCTGTTCTGTTTGTTTAGAGTTTGTCACTGCTTGTCTGTTTGTGGTGAGGCTTAAGTCTGTCTGTCCTTATCAGTTCAGTGGTTGGGAGGAGATTACAGAGCTGAAACAATGGGTGGTTTTGTATGATTAGGCTTTAATTGGTGAAACAAAGAGACTCTTTAGCACCATGTGTAACATAGGAAAGACTGGCTTAAAGGCCCACAGATAGCTGGCAGGAAAGAATGTGCTGTGTATGAAAGGGTTAGTGAGCATGAGCCTCGTCCCCGCTCAGTTGATTGATTGTGTTCGCTGAAAGGAAAAAGGCGAGCAAGGCTGTTGAGTGCGAGGGGAGGATAGTGAATGTGATAAAGAACAGTGGGGGGAGACAGAGGATTCCTATGTGCTCTGAATGAGGTCATCTGGTTGGTTATGAGGAAGGTCACTGACCCCTCCCTGGGCTTCACACTCCACCCCTCTGTCTCTCCCTTCCTCCCCCTCAGCTAATGATACACAATGGCTTTTTGTGCTTTAATGGGCCAGACGCACACACTGGGTCATTCGTACCGGTTCACACAGAAGTATGCACACAAGCGCTGTTTGTAAATCAAGCCCAATACATTTTTCCGTATTGCATTTATCACTTGGTTTATTATATGGCTGAATGTACAGTGCTGAATGTACTGTTCTTAAAGCTGCTGAGTGATGTGGTTTATGCCACCCAACCCTCCCATCTACTGTTGCTCTCCCAGTTGAGTGGTGATAGTGGAACTTGGAGCATCTTTAAGAAAGGCTTCTTTTTTCTTCTCATATTTTTGTTGTCTAGAAAATCAATTTTCAAGTGTAAAACTTAATGCCGCAAACATTGCTTTGTAACACAAAAACAGAAGAATGTTACAGTTATCATGAACATAATAACTTGGAGTTTATTGTGTGTGGAGCGGTGACCATGTCCTTTTTTTATATTTTGCAGTCCAGCAAGCAAAACCAATTCCAGGGAATTGTTGCCCTATATCAACGTACAGTGAACGAAACAATGTACACATCATTATGTTCAGTATATGATGAATGCCCAACCTTTGTGTTGTGGTGCTGCAATCAATCAATGGGTTAACCTACAGAATAACTACACTGGAGGCATTTAGGGAAAGATCGCAAGAACAGCTCCATGAAGCATCCAGTTTTACTTCATTTCTGATGTTCTTGTTGTTTTCTAACTTAGTCTAGCAACACGGTTTTTAATAATGATATATAGGGCCGCTGCAATACAGCTATGCGGGCATGCCACACAACTCCTAATTGAAAAGTTACTATAGAATGGACATTGAGCTAGGACAGGAACTTGTAGATGCCACTCCAGTACACTTTAGCCTTAACTTCTGCCATCTCGGCTCGGTTTCTTTAATGTCATCTTGGATAAGATTACAGCTGCTCCTGTCTGATGCATATATTTTCTTGTGCGACATGCCAGGACAAGCTCACCGACATAGAGCACAGTGATTTTAGAGATGTAGTGGTTTGACTTAAATGGCTATAAAAGTTAGAGTTTTGGATTGGCTATATGTTTTTGTGATCGCCTGCATCATGTGGGCAAATTCAATTATTGTAAACGTTTGTATTCCTCTAGGGAAGGTTAAAGGCAGCTGGGGATGGACGGTGTGTCAACACAGCGGGGGAGACAGGTGTGGGCATGAGCAAGGTGCCAAGGTGCCAGCTGTTGTTGACACCTTAAGGTGAAGAGACAAGTCCATCTCTTGGCAGATTATTCTGCCAAGAGATGGACTTGTCTCTTTCTGTCCCCTCTAGTCCTTCTCTCCCCTTCCCTGTTCCAGCCTTCTTCTTCACTCCCATACTCTGCTTTCTTGGGGAGTATTTGTCTGACATGAGTTTAGGCTGTCTGTGATGGGAGCTCTTCCTGCAACCTTATTTTTATTGAGCGTCTGACACTTTCTATGAACCAGACCTTGGTTATATCTCCGCTCCTCCTCCCTCATCACTATGTGTATAATCCTACTCTCCCTGTCTGCACCCCTGATGCACACACATATACAGTTTGCTTTGCTTTCTCCCTCTTATCTTTTTTTTTTTCTGTCTTTAGCATGTACATGCATCCCTCTCATCTGTTTATTTTATATTGCCTTCTATCGTTGTCATAGTGTTATAGGAGAAAATCAGTATTTGTTCTCCCAAGGGGGAATGACTCATTTTTCCTGGCTTTGCCTTTTTACCTATTTATTTTAGCAGAGTGACTCCACAGCTCCTGACACCCTCTTTTTTTCCCCTCTGTCTCTCTTCTCTCATCTCCAGCATATCCAGATTTTTCTTCACCAGCTCTCTGCTTCCATTTGTTTTCTCTCTTGCAGCTTCCCTCTCTACTCTGTATGTGAGTGTATGTGAGGCTAAAATCCAGCCTTGGGGCTACATTGCCTCTTTCATGTGAGGACCAGTGGTGACATTAAAGGCCCACTACGTGGTCTGTCGTTTTGCATCAGCTCAGCTTTCACTGTCTGTGCTCAGTCTGTGCTCGGCTCTCCACTCAATCACTCCCAGGCTCAAAACGTTGGTTGGTTGAGAACATGCCTGCACACGCTGACTGTAATTTTGTACATGTATATGCTCTTGCAGATTTTTTAAGCCCTGACACCCAAGTGCTTTGAGGCAGTTCAATGTTTAAAAGCTTAAGCATAGTGTAAGGTTGGTTAATGACAGTTGAGTCAGCGACTCTCCCTCTCCTCCCTTTATGGCACTTTGACCCAGTTGTTACAGCCCCTGCAACATCTTTGTTTTTAAATACGCTAAATAGCACATTCAACATGACGTGACAGACAAAACAGATCAAACGGATGATCTCCAGGACCAGACAACCAGACCAAACACTCAGCCAAAGAGCAGTTCCTCTGATGATCTGTGATCTGTAGACAGAAGGGAGTAGGTCAGGGGCAGTCTTTTCCTCCTCTTTTCATTGTCAGACGCAGACACCAAAAGAGCTTTTCAGCAGCTATACAGTGCTAGTGCTGTTTGTTCTTCATAGAGCAGGGGGTCTCCAACTCAAATTGGCTTGGGGCCACAGCTGATATTTTCATCTCCTACGAGAGCCACTTCATTGTTTAAGTACTATAAGAAAGTGCAATACTATAAAAACATTTACATTACTAACATCATGCCTAATAAAAAATTGCAAACAGCAGTTTTTATAAATTTTTATATGATTATTTTAAAAACATCTTTGTTGTTCAACAAAGATGTTTGTAAACAACAAATTAAGGCCCGAAACCTCCCTTCTTATCAACTGTTTGCAGGCATCTTTGACCTTTTGCCATTATTTTGCACAAAACTAAACTTGCTTTCTTATATACACGAAGGGATAGTTCAAATTGATATGAAACATAATTTAAAAATAATAATAATAATCTTGTAGGCCAGATCCTGTTATATTTTGACATGTCAAAGGTTGGAAAGTTTGAGCTCCCTGTCACACAGAGTCAGTATGTACCACTTTGACTTATAAAAAACAACATGTTCACACAATCTATCTTTGGCTCAGAACAATTGAAGTTCTGGCAGAAAACCCTACATATCCATCCAGATATTTAACACATTTCTTGTATGTCTAATTTTTATTTTACAAGAGTAGGTGTTTGAAGTGGTAAGATTCAGATCCTGTAAAATTGTTATGTCAGGCTGCAAAGACAATGAAGCACTAAGACACAACAACAGCTGTGATGTGAGTCTGTGTTGTCACACCCAGGGACAGTGGCTGAGTGGCTGGTGGAGTTGAACTTAAGATGGTAGGTACAAGCCCCAGCAGGCCCTGTGCCTGGGGATGAGGCAGTTGACACACGCATACACTTTTGTGATGTAACCTGTTTGTCTTCCTGTGTTCAGGGTTCCCAGGGTTTTTCTTTTATAGAGAATTTAAGCGTCTTTGCTCAAATTCTGTGTTGCATTAAATCACCTGTGACCTGTCATTTCAACTGTAATAGTAATGAGAGGTTAACATAGCTAACAAAGCAGGTTGCAAACTTATTAGTGTTGTCCATCTAACTAAAGAGGGGAGAAATAATCACAATAGATATGAGATGTGTCTCTTGCGTGAGCTTTACTCGAATGAGATGTATGAAATGTAACAAAAATACAACAATTTACACACTACAGAAAGATACAGAAACACTATAGCTAGTCTTTGTAACAAAGCGGGGACCTGCACATACACACACACACACAACGCCGGTTAAACTAGTCTGCCCGTATACATACACACACACACACACACACACAACACCGGTTGGCGGTTAAGCTAGCACACAACGGTGGTTGACGGTTAAAGTAGTCTGCCCGTATACACACACTCTCAACAAAACTTGACTACATCTACCCGAAAAGTAACAGAAACATTATGTATGTATTCTTAACATGTCAACAAGTTACTACAGACAAAACAATCACATACACAACATACCTAAAGAGGGGAGAAATAATCACAATAGATATGAGATGTGGGTCTCTTGCGCGAACTTTACTCGAATGAGAGCGAAGAGCGCAAATTCTCCAGGTATGTGGGCGGAGATTAAAGCAGTCGATCCAAGAGTGCAGGACTGAGACCACTCTGTAGATCACAGATTAAGATTAGAAATACTTTAAATATTAGAATTATTAAGATTAGATATACTTTAAATATTAGAATTTTAACACATAAGAATTTAAAAATAACAATGAAAAATAAACCCTCTTAATGAACTTAATAAACATTCAGCTTTTTCCTTTACCCCACAACAGTCTAAATAGTATCAATTCCCAACTTGTCACATTGGCACTAGCAACAAAAACCAAAAAAACACTTTTGGGAACTTTTTAATTTTGCTCTCTGGCCAAACGATGACTGTGGATGTGTGTCTGTCACAGAAAATAGAACTGAAGATGAATTTCTAACGAAACTCATTTGAAGGCAGTTGTACCTCTGTTTGCTTCTGTCTCTGTTGTGGCATCAATGCTTTCTTGTTGTAATCAAGTGACCTCATTCCCTGATAATGAGAGAGGGAATGAAATGTGGTGGTTCCTCATTCTGTCACTCCCCCCACCTACTAAACACATTAAATAAAGAGATTTTTTTTTTCAATCTGTTTGTTGACATGCTCAATACTGCACTTCTGGCAGGCTCCTGCTGCTCCCATCTGCTCCTTGCCAAAAATCACTAGAGTCACAGTTGATGTAAGGATTTGCCAAAGGTGTACTGTTAAACTGCAGCCGTAGCCATACATCTTATCCTTTCTCTGTGTGGCAATTTGACAGTGTTTAACCATGATGGAAATGACCTGAATGTTACCATCTTGCATTTTATTTCCTTCATATTAACCATTTAGTTTTCTGTCAGTAGACTTTGTTAACCCACTGAAAGCACTGTGCTTTTCTGGAGATTTAAAATATTTTGAAGCATTGATGAAATATCGCTTTAGATCCGATGACAAACATAGAGGTTAGATCACATCGAGACAAAGTTAAGTCTTTTTTTTTTTTCTGTTGGTGGATGGGAGTATGGGAAATTATTCTGCCTCCTTTCCATCTTCGCTATTGGTTGTGAGAACGGTGGTCTCCTTAGTTACAGGGGTGGGGACAGGAAACAGTGCATGTTATCTTTTTGAGTCACATTGACAGTCAGAGCCTTTCCTTCCTCCCTCTTCCTCTCTTGTTTCCTCTCCTGACAGCTGGACCTTTCCTCTCATTGTTGCATGATGGATGGGGCAGCTGTGTGTAGGGGTAGACACAGATGAGATGTGTAATAGATTAAATGGTGCTTAGTGCTTTTAGATTCTCTGATTTGTGGTCTGCAGTTTAAGCTATTCTGGCTAACTTTTTGATCACCCTTAGAGGCATAGTCTTATATCTTAACAAGAACCAGTCTGCCTACTGACAATAAAATGTCAGTTGTTAGTCCCCTCCAGATAGTGGGCAAAAGAAAGGGATATACCCACTTTTCCCTGGCCAAAGGAAATGGTTCCAGGTCAACAGTCGACACAAAATGGGGTCAAGGTCTGCCCTTCTAATCCATAGACATACACCCCATCAGCATGCGTCCTGACTCTTCATCCTGTTATTCTCCCAATTCCTTATCTCAAAGTCTCACATCTTGTCGAGCTCACAGCATGCATCCTGTGCTTCGTTTTACATAGCATCCCCTGCATTGTGTGTGTGTGTGTGTGTGTGTGTGTGTGTGAGCAAGTGTGGAAGGATGCGTGTCTGTAAAAGGATGCCTGGGGCCTCAGTGGATGAAACGGCTGTGTTTCTAGAAGCCTTAGCAGTGTGTATACATCCACCAAAACACTGAAAGTTGAGTTAAATAGGTTAAAGCAGAGCGAGAGAGGGATTCGCGAGTAGCACCGAGCAGCACAACTCAGGTCTCGCTTTTCTATGTCTGCCTGATTTTACTGGCAGGTAAAGTCTGTGAAATGAGTTCCCTCGAGATGCAGAAGAACCAACAATCTGTTTGGCTGTTTGTATGCATGCTTTGTTCATGCTTTTAGTGTGTGTCTGTGTTCATACTAATTAATCCAGCAGCTTTGACTGCTCCTGTCATAACTAAGCATATCTTTTTAGTATGCGTGGAGCCACACGGAAACATGTTATATCTCATGGAAGTAAATTGTCGGCTTCCTCCTTGTATTATAGCTCAGTTGAGGAAGGCTATTTCTTTTTCTTCCCACCAAGATTTGTGAAACCATTTTCAGCTCATGAGGGTTCACTCTTAAAGCCAGCCTGTTAAATGACTGTTGCTGTGGCTTCCAATTTAACGCTACATATCGCTCCCCCTTTAGATGGCAAAAGCAGCAGTAAAATAGCCTATCTTTGCTTGGTATTTTAGAAGGAGCCTGAGTCTGCATTTGTGTGCATTAGGTTGGCTGTTTCAGCTGAGCTAGGGTATAAGGCTGCTTTAGAAGGTGAACCGAGGAGAGAGGAAGTATTAGCACAGAACTCTAGCTTCTGCTGTTGCTGGATTTGAATATTTTCGCAATTGCTGAATAATTAGTAATCTTATGAAACTATCCTGAGAAGGAGCTTTTAGCATTCTGGTAACTACCACACTGACACTCCCCGGTGTTTCCTGTAAAGGAATTGTATCTGTGGGAGTGTGTGAAGGAAAGAAAACAGTTTCTGTAGCTTTCTGCGTTGCTCACACGCCTTGGGGTTACTCCCTCAAGTTTAAGTTTGTGAGTGTGAGTGTGAGTGTGCATGCACTCACAAGTTTCACCCCAGGATCCTGTTGAAAGTACCCCCACGCAGAGAGTAATGAACGTTGGCCCCTTGCGGCAACCATTAAGAGTAAGCCATTATGGTTCAGTATTGAGCCAGCCCTCCCTGCCAGTTTCACGTCACTCTATGGCAGACCCCACTGAGTGCACAAAACTGGCACTCCTATGGCTCATTGAGCTGCCAGCTTGCCCCCCACCAGCACACAGCCCCATAAAGCAGTTCCACATCATCAAATGTGATGATCCCTTGTTCTAATTTTAGTTTGAAGTCTTAATAGCTCAGCAGATACTGTCTCCGAACCACTCATTTCACTGTGGTGGTGTGAGTGATAAGGATAAGATGGGTTTTTGCTGCAACTTTTTAGGAATCATTTAAATTATTTACCCTAGTAGTTGAGCCAAATGTGACTGACTGGCAATGAAAACACTTTGTTGATCATTCTGAATAATTTGCATGGGGTCAGTCCGTAAACACTAAATTTCATTTGGAATGCCTCAATAAACAATTGTTCTTATGTTAGCATTAACCCTCTACTTCGATTTTACCAGAACACTGACAGCTGGCATTAACCAGCGGATGTAGCATATTTGGCAACTTCTGAGTAACAGCTCCAGTAATCGCCATTCTGTCGTTTCATTTTTCAGACGCGTATTAACACTGTTGGAAGCTGACAGTTTTTGGGACCACAACAAGATTTTCTCTGACTGTTAGCATTTTATCATGATCTCAAAATTGGCATCACAACGCTTTCTCAAGGCTCACTTAACTTGGCCTACTTTTTGAGCCACGGTTTCCAGGACAATCACTGCACCTGTTCGTCTGTCCCTGCTAGTCCCGAAGTTGTCAAGTGACAGTCACTCAAGTCACCAGAGAACTTGTAAAATGTGAGATCTTTTTTTCCAAATATTTTCCAATCTAGGCTAATGTGTGTATTCAGTTCCCTTTGTCCCACTCTTTCTATTTCTGCTTCTTTTCTGCCTCCCCTCAGCTCTGCTTTTCCTTTGGCCCCTCTCTCTGGTCTGCACTGTCTGTTTGCTTTGTTTAATCACCAAACTAACGTGCTATGACACGTTCCTATAGCACACGCTCACCATTGCTGCCAGCAGGCACAGAAAGCCACGTTCAGCTTGGCACTTCTTCTCCTTCCTGCATGCAGTCACAGTGACGGTCCCAGAAAACATTGCATTTGCTACCGGTTATGATTAATGGCTTTGCTGATTGCTGTTCTTGGCCATCACCACACCTACATGTTCTGCTTTTAGCATGAATATTCTCAGGGGTTCAGCCAGAACAGAGGAGGAGGTAAACTATGTATCCAACTTCTCAATATTTCTGACGTAATTAGTAATGTATGGATGTCTTCAACTGATGTGAACCAAATATCCTAAATGTGTTACATATGTTGTTGTAATAATCCTGATCTAAGTTAACTCTATTCTGTCTTTAAAGGTAGAAGAGGGAAGGTTCCCATTTTTGTTTGTCTTTTACAAACTACATCTTAGTGGCACCGGTTTCCACCGCTGTCAGTCATCATGGTAAAATATTTAACCAGTAGGAGTCGAGGGGGAGAGTGGGGGTTAATGTGTAATAGAGAACAATTGGCGTTTTTCCTCCATCTCTTTGTCAGCAGACTGAATACGTGGCAGTGGCTAGTAAAGCAAGGTAGAGGAGAAATGTAGCACTATTTCCTGCTTGTTTCCTGCTGTATTTGTTTAGCAGATTTTTCTCTGAGGCAGTTTCCCTCCTCCTTCCATGTGGAGTGTTATTTCTGTGGGTTCTCTCTCTCTCAGGAGAGCCTTGCCTACAAACACACAAAAGCTCATTAGCTCGTGTGTGTTGGTGTTTTTAATGTTTAGTTGGGTGTTTGTTTTTATATGTATGATATCTACCTACATTTATGTCAGGGTACACGCATTCTTGTGCACTGTTGGACAATGCCTAAATGGCATGCGAGTTGTTATCTATGTGCGTGTGTGCTCGTTATTGTTGATCAGAGAGTGGAACGTGCTGCTTTTGGGGAGGTAGTTGGCTGGGATATAAACGGGCATGTGTGCATTGACTGGAAACCCTGCACGTGTATATTTTTTCTGCAATTTCTGCACCATAGTGTATGCCTAAAAAGAGTGCATTCCTGTAAGTGTGTGTGTAAGCATTTTATCGGTGTGGAATGCATCAACCGTCGGTTCCCAATTTGGATGAAAGCATAGCTCCTCTGTGTCCTGGCTTGTCGTTTACCCATGAGATGAGTAAGCATGTGTGTATATGTGTATGGGAGTGTTATTCTGTGATTTAATTTTTCTTTACCAGGCACAGGGAGGAGAGAATCCAGAAACCTTGTTACACCAGTCGTTTATTTAGTGGCCTATCTACTTAAAGACCTGACGCTGGAGCTTTTTACCCAGCCTGCCTTAGGAGAATCCCTGACACACAACATAAATCTCTCCCCCTGGCTGCCAGCAAACCGCACCGTCATTCCTGTCTAGAGCCATTTAGACCCCCAGCCTGTGGGGACTAGCGCTGATATCCACATCATGTCAGGGATGAGGAACTGTGTGGATCCGCCACTATGAGGCTGTAAAGTTGAGATGTATTTTTCAGTATTGTCTTGAATTTGATAGTGGAAATACATCACAATATTCAGATGCACATTGAAAAAGTTGTTGGTCACTGCATATTCCTCCTGTACATACTGGCTGGGAAGTGATCCCTTTAGTAGTACAACTTCTAGATGGGTGACAAAATCCTCTGTCCTCGTTTTGTGTCCTAAAAGTTCATCCAAAGCTAATATGATGCTTCAGCAGTCTGGTTAGTCAAATCAAGTGTGGATCTTCCAAAGTTATTTTTCCTTTCCGTACCACATTACCTCCTTGTGTTATTATCCTTCTGCTACAACAACACTTTTAAGGAGAAACACAAACAGGCGATGTTGTGTTAAAAAGACGTTTGGAAGATACCAGTAAGTAATTTAATGAAAAGGAAAGACACTATGTCTGTTTTGCTCAGCTTAATTACAAAATTATTCGGATGTCAATGAACATTATCGTGTGGGGGGGGGGTTCAAGCACTTTGTGTTTTGTACAACTGCGTATAGTCGCATATCCACGACAATAAACACTCCTATGCTGTTGGTTATTACCTTTACTCTCCCTGAATCTGTGGAAAGGGGCTGCTTGGATGCCATGTCGAGAACAACTTGCACCCCAGTGTGTTTTAGACTACTGCAAGTAATAGACACACTTGGGTAATGCTGTCGTAAATGAGTTTGAGTGTTTGATGTAGCCATTTCCAGAGACATAAAACTGCCTTAATTGGGTTGAACAATGTTGATTAACAGTTCTGGTCTGATGTACTCCTGCTTGTCCATTGTTGCTATTATATACTGGGAAACCCTAATCTTCCTTGCCCCCTAATTATTTGGTTCCTAGGGTGACAAGTCACATACCGAACAAACAAGGCATCCTGCAGTGAATATTTTGTGATTGATATGAATGCTGTCACAATCCTACTATCCGTTATGTTACATTTAGAAGGTAAATAACGTCATGTCAAGTACCGACCCTCTGGCCACAGGATGTTGACATTAAAGTTCACTAATACAAATGTTCCCAAATGCAAACTCTTAAGTACAGGATATTTTATTAAACCTAAAACTGGTGTTTTCTTTGTAAGAGCTAAAATACATTGCTGCTCTTAACTATGCTGATAGTACAGCATACTCATTAACAGCACCGGAATAGTTTGTGCACAAACATCAAAGGATTTTGCAGTGTAGGCCTACTCTTAAATCAAAGATTAGGAAGTAAAAATAAGACAGAAGCATAAGGAAACATTTTTTTTTCCTTCACAAAGAGGGAGGGAGAGAGAGAGAGGCAGCTGTGAGTTGACGATAAGACCCAGAAATGCATACGTTTTCATGGCTCAGTCACCCCCACCAATGCACGCTATACTTCGGCTCTTTGCTTTAAAAGAAACCTCCGTCTTTCATATGCTTGGCCTGCCAAACCCCTAAACTGTTGAAGTGGAGTGTCGTCTTGGATAAAGTCGTCTGTGCCGTGAATAAAGGGCAGGAATGCATTAAACGCCCAAATCCTTTCGCTTGCAACGGCTACCCAGGCTTTGTGATTGGTAAAGTGCACAGCTTTAAAGTGAAAAGGCTTGTTCCTCGCCTGAGTCTTGTTTCACTCAGCACCGGCACATTTAGGTGTATCCGTGATTACTGCAGTGTTTTGGACACAACCACCACATTTTTATGTCTATATTTACCTCAGCTTCCTAGCCTTTTTTTTTAACCTGTTTAAATCATGAATTGAGCATGCATGTGCAAGCAGGAGAAGCAGGAGTGATTTTGAACACTACAGGTTTTTGATCTTAAATCCCCCTAAACAGGGAGGACTCATTCAGTCTCTCTGCAGAGTTGAACATTTGATCATTTTGGCTTGAAGATTAATTGGTGTTACACTCAATCTGTTTCAGGTGCCAGATATTATCAGCCTAATACCAGGCATCACAAGGCATCTAAAGCTGCTTTCCTCAGGCAAAGCTGATCACACTGATTACTCACACATTACATTTCTTTAGCACTCACACACACACACACACACACACACACACACACACACACACACACACATACACATATATGGACAGATGTGCACTGCATGGTCAGAGGACGTTTTGCTGTGAGCTACAGGGTGAGGACAAAGCCGTTATGGAGCAGGTCTATTTTTGGGCTCTTAATGGACTTGTTCCCATTCTCTAGTGGAGCAGGTCTAGCTGAATGATCTTCACCAGTCTTAAACCTGATTACAGTATCTCCTTCTGGACTGCTCCATTGTTTTTAATTTAACTCTGCCCTCTTCTTTTTTTCTCTTTCTCTCTCCTATCTCTTTGCTCCATCTTTGATCTCTCCTCCTCTTCACTCCATTCCCCAGGTTTGTCCTCATGCCGTGTTTACATTCATTAGATCATGTTAGATAGGAAGAGACGCAACATTAGAAAACATTCCTACTTCAAGCGGCTATTCCTCTCCCCATATCACCCTCCTCTGATTTGCTTCCATTGATTCTGCCAGTGCTGCTTTTTATGTGATCATAGTTTTGGCATCAGGCTGGGTAAATAAATGAGAAGCTTCCTTATCCCATGGTGCTGAGTTCACGGTGGCTGACTCTGTCAAATATCACTCATTCAGATGAGTAGATACACTTAATGGTTTTGTTTTTCTCTGGCCCTGCTATCTTTGCCTCCTTTGTGCACATGACTCTCCAGTCTAGGTCTAGGTTTAGTTCTGCTTTGCCTTATCAAGGGGTAGTAAGTTCCTGTGAGGCAAAACACTTGACCATGTGCTGTTTTCACTGGTGACCTTTGGTATGGCAGGGATGGTCTGCGTGCTAAAGAAGCATTCATGGCAGTGGCAAGAGCTGCGCAAACGGGCTAGATCTAATAGTGAATACTTTTTGGAGCTTGCTTCTTTTAAGCCATGTTACATGATACGCATATTTCATATTGATCAGACAATTATTTTTTCTAATACTAAGAATTTAGCAGTGTTAACCCTATCAATGTTTTGATTAAATCAAATCATTATTCCAGAGAATATGAATTGACTAATGGAGTCATTAACAGGTTTATATCTTAGGGGGCTATCTTTAAGGCATAAAGTATTCACTTGCTATTATCAAGGCACCAATATTTAGGCATCTTGCCAAGACTGACCAGAAAAACCATTATGTCCTTTTACTAGCTTTGTTTAGAGCTTTCAACAGCCTCTCACGGTCTACATCAGCAGCAGTATTTGGTCCGTTGACATAAAGATAGCTCAGCCATCACTATGTTGTATAAAACCTTTGTCACATGGCAACAGGTTGTTGTGTTATAATACTTGGTTCACATGATAACAGTTGAGCTGACAACCATCCGTTGAAGGTGAAGCAGTTGAAAGGTCCAGAGAAAGCGAGTAAGGAGACAATGGGTTTTTTGTTTATTTTTTTTAAAGCCACATTTTTCAAGGTTGAGAGTTAACTTTCACCTTTAACATCAAGCCACCCACCATGCCACATTTTAATTCTTGTCTCTCAAAGTACAGCCACTTCCTTTCCCATATTCCCCAGTCCACTGCCTCTCTCTCTGCCATTCTCCTCTCCCACATCTGCCCCTTTGAGCACCCCATTGCCAAGATCACCAAAGAAGATGAGGAGAAACTGTCTCTTTACTTGAGCTTACAAAGGGCAGATGGATCGGCAACCACAGCCTGTGACATTTTCTTTTTTCACTGCAGATTTTAGAAGAAAGGGCAGACTGAGAGAAACAAAGAAGTAGTATAAAATGAAATGTGTATCAACTTAGATTGAGGCAGAAAAGAGCAGTGCAAGTCGAGAATGATACAACAGCACTCTGCTTGCTCAGCACTGTGCTTATAATTCTCCCTATTTCCTCTGTCTCTGTCTCATCAAACCTTCTTGCTCTCCGCCCTCCAACTACTCACAAGGTGGATTTTTGTTTCTTCCTGGCAGATGTCTGGGCAAAACTCTACATGTAGATATTATGATCTCTTCCTGTGTGTGTGTGCGTGGACAGCCACCTCCCACAGGTAAATGAACAGTTCTGATGGAAAATGTTGTTTTATGTGTGTGTGGTTTTCTGAGTCAGGTTGTGGAGGACACAGTGAGCTGAGAGATGGCTTAAGGGGAGTAACTGTTCTGTTACTGTCCCTTATTCAGCTGTTAAACACGTATGCACTCCAGATTTCTGCCATCTAATGCCAAAGTTAAAAAAAAAAAAAAAAAGGTCTCATTTCATAGCCTACCATTCTCTTTCTCCAGCGTATTGCCTTCTTTTTCTTCTTTTGTTTGTTCATTCCAAGATAGCAATCCTCGAGTCTCCCTTTCTTGTGTCTTTCTTACAAAATCAGCCTTTACTGCCGGGGTGGACAGCTAGACAAATGATTTTGTCGGTCGTGCAAGGCAGGGGGTAATTTTTAGGTGAGCGTAGCGCTTCAGAAAAGACTTGCTGCACTGAAATTAGAGGTTGTCAAATGCCGCACGTCTCTACTGATGGCCCAGCACGGCCCCCTTATGTTAATGTGGCATTTCGGCAAGAGGAAATTAGGAGGAGGAGGGGTACTGCTGGTGACTGTTGGGTAGCATTGTCACATGTGCACACTTCTTCCTTTTATTTTCTCTTGTTATCTGAAGGATAAATGCATCCAGGATGCAAATAGCATACAGTGTATTTGCTTTTGTTGCGAAGGTCTGTGCAAATAACTGGTTTTCTAACTTACAGAACATTGGCTCCTCTTTACCCATCATTTATGGCTCCTACACACATGCTTAGTCCACCAGTGGTCTGTTAAATAGCTCTTCTATGTTCATTAATGTTAGGCTGAAGAGACAAATGCAACACGTAAGGTAGTGATATTATTTTCCAGAAATACTACTATTAGTGATCAAGCCGTGGATAGTTTTGTATGTCCATCAAGGAGTTGCAGAGATTAAACTTTGTGGTTAAAATACTGTCTCTTTAACCACTAGGCCATCATGTTAAAGTTTTATGGAGTTGAGGGTTCTTTTGGACACACAACTCACAATCTTTTGAAATTTGAAATTAACTGCCCTGTTTTTCATATTCCCATTACTCCCTGTGCTGTGCTTCCCTGATCTCCTCCCTGTATGCTGTGTCACTGCCAAGCCCCCTCCGTTCATACACAAAGCCTGGATGTGGCCTGAAGCCGCTGGTGTCGGTTAGGACTGATGTAATCTGTTCTGTGGGCTAGATACCAGGAGGATGAATTCATCTTTAGGGAGGACTGGGAGTGTCTTTGTGGACCACAGTGCTGAGGTCATGTTTGGGAAAGGAGTTGCTCTGGGCCGAGTCTCCTGGCTTGTTTGTACGGTTCAGATCTGTCCCACAGGTGTTGTCCACACAGCTGCAGCCCAGATGTGTATGTGTATCCTTGTCAGTGTCTGTGAGCCCATCAATCACCTATTTGCCAGTCTTGTCATCAACAGTATCCAGAAAAAACACGGTTTTAGCTCAACAGGAAATCCCCACAAACTGATTCCATGGCTAAATCCAGGTCTTATTTGTTACCTCTTTTTAAGTTGTAAAAGTGTACAATTATTCTAACTCAAAACAAAGACTAGAACTTCACTGAAACCTATTTATTAAAGTTTGCCTCACCTTCTAATTTAGTTTCAGCGTAAGGTTAAGGCTTAGAGGTCAGGCATGCTTTACTAAGGGTGTCTATAGTTGAGTGTCAGGTTCCCTAGCTAGAGTTTAATATAGAGCTCCCAACTGCTCAGAAGTCTCTTGAGCAATGGAAATGGTGCCTAACACCTGCCCCCACTTCACCCCACATCATTCCTCGAGGCCTCACCAACCGTAGCATTTAGTTTCAGCGGTGTCACACTCACACTCACCCTTTTGTAGATGCCTCTTTTTGGATCACATCTTGCTTACCCTTTACTGCTGATTAACATTTTGGTTCAGCAGTGGCATGACTGTATAGTGATGGCAAACGTGGGAAGTTAGAAAGTGCGACAAGTGTGTGTACCTTTTTTTTTTTTTTTTTTTTTTTTTTTATTAACGGGTGTTACAACTCCAGCCGCCGATCCTCAGCCAACTGTGACACACTCGCATGCACTGTATTCACACAGGATAGGCAGGATGAATGAATGCTCCCCCCCCAACCTGCATAGCACAGCATTCCTCAGTGTGTGAACTTGTGTGAGCTATAGAGGCAGTCAAAATGGGGTGTGAATTAGAGGTGAACGTGTGTGCGAGAGAGTTGGAGCGGAAGTCTCTGTTGGCAGTGTGTGTGTGAGTGAGAGAGAGGTCCATTAGTTTTATCTGACAGAGGGATCAGATCTGAAGGCATGTTGCTGAGCCTGAGCGATTCTCTGCGTCTCTTCTCCCCACCTGCCCAGCTGCTCGCACAGGCTACTCTATTAGACAACAGCCACTGGGGAGTACCAGGCAGAAAGGAAAGACTGTGGCCTTAACCCCTAAATAATGCAGCGTTTCATCTCTGACATATAGAATAACTTAAACACATTCACTGTTTTTAGCCAGAGCAGTTTGTTCAGAAAAATGCTATTTCCTGCAGGTATTAGGAAGCACCCGTACTCAGCTGTCATACATTTTCACACTCACAGGCTATGATAATTTTTTGTACTCTCCAAAAACAAACTTACTGAATTGTTTGTCTATAAATTACAAACAATACTCAAGGCAATTGACACATTTCTGTTGGTTTTCTTTTTTACAACAAAGATTTATATGCTACATTAAGCCTTTGCCCAGAAGTCAAAATCAATGACAGTGATATATCAAATACAAAATAAAAAAAGATGTTTGATTGTACTGTGGTTATTCTGTTGCTTACCGTGGTGTACATGTTTGTCTGTTTCAGAGATCAACAGAGTGCGTAAAGACATGTACAGCGACACAGTGAATGGCCTTGTGGACAGACATCCTCTGGAGCTGCCTGAGCCTATCGGACCCATCGTCCACCTGCAGGAAAAACTGTTTGTGCCTGTCAAAGAGTACCCTGATGTAAGTAGTGGTTTACACATCTCACACTATGGCAGCTCTCTCACAGTGCCAGTTATATTAATGAATTAGACTTACTTGTTTTATTATATAATATTTACACTGCAACCAGCAGACAAACAGTTTCTCGAGGAAAAATACAATAAAGAAAATAATTTTGCGGTACATAAAATTTTATGGTATAGTAGTCTGCAGTATGTTTGTTTTTCCTTCTTCAGTTGGACTGTTTTTTTCCGGGATTGTTTGTATCAATAGCTTAATCAGCAGCTGTAATTGATTCAGAATTCTTATATCTGTGGACATGTACACACACATCCTCGTGCCTTAGGCCATGCATCTTTGTGGTATGTCATCACTGAGATGACAGCTGCTGTTAGTTTCAGCAATCTGTCAGCACTGAAGACATACCTGTTGTTTGTTTCTCTCTCTCATTCTTTCCGTTATACATTCCTGCTCCCTCCTTATTGCTCTCTTCTCCCTTTTGCTCCTTTTTTCATTTATGTCTGGTAAACACACAACTCTGTTTTGTTAGTTCCTTAAATGATAGTTGCAGGACTCAGAATGTGTACCAAGTTGTTAATGGACTCGCGTTAAAACTATATCAGGTGGCTGTCTAAATTTGGTCCTGGTCTCAGGAAAACATGGCATGCTGGGGTGTTTATGGACCAACACAGCGATAGATTAGTGCGCAGAGAGAGAGAAGGATGGGATTTAGAGGAAGGAGTGTCATGAAAAGTAAACTGCAATTCCATTAATATTCAGTCGAAGCAGATGGAAATCTTTTGGATTTACCACTCGCATTGGTTAGGGCTGTGGCATATTTTCTCAAATGGAAAGACACATTTGCATGTACACACACAGCTGGGAAAGAAGGGCACACGATGGAGCTATCATGCTGGTTGTAGAGATGAGGAGACGGGTGGCAACACTAAGGAGGCGAGTCAGTAAAAACCTTGTCTGAATAATGACAGGTGTGTGTGTGTGTGTGTGTTTGTGTCTGTGTGTGTGTGTCTGTGTCTGTGTCTACTATATGTAGAGCCCTGTAGAGCCCTGTAGTCTGTTTAAGGTTGTGACCACAGTCAGTCAACCACCTTCCTGTCCTCATGGTAATCTTTGTCACACACATGAATGGTTGTGTCACGTCTCGTGGAGCAACGTTTCTCTTCGTAATCCCAGTAGCTTGCAGTGAGGAAATGAATGGAGGGTGGTGACGAAGGATAAGAGACAGCGTAGACCAGGGCAAGGCCCAGACAGCCATGGATTGCATTTTCCCCCTGACAGAATTGATAAAGGGCACCAGGGACTTGCTGGGATCAGCTTAGCTCCAGCTGACCCTCAGTCCACACCCAGCCTCTTGAGCTCAAGTTAAATCAACCAACCACAACCCCAGCCTTTCACCTTTCATCTTGACAGGATATGACTTCAAGTCCTTGAACTGCCCCCTGATTAGCTGTGAGAATCATATATTTGCTGGTAGGGGGGCTTTTGTGTGCCAATTGTATTACTTGCAGTTTAACCTGTGCAACCATATCTGTTTGACAGACACATGCATTACTTATATACTCTACAAACATTTTCTGCTCTGAAAGGGAGCTGTGGGAGTGTGTATATATGGTACGACTGACCCTGTCTAGTCAATGGATCAGTCAGTTGATGTGCAGTTGTCTGGTCAGGATTTAAGTGGTCAACAAATTACTGCTTATTGTAGCCAGTTATTTTATTATAATAATTAATAATCTTTTCTCTGTAGAATGTGATATATACATATGAGGCCAAAACCCTTACCTTTGTGTTGTGACATTCCCTGTTGCGTGCGTGCGTGTGTGTGATAATGGCCATATGCATTTTATATACGGAGGTCTGTGAAAATGTGGGGAACAGTGGTTACCACCTGTGGCTGTAAAGACACTAATGGAATGACTCCTTCACACACACGCGCACACACACAGACAGACACACACAAACTATTTAAAAGTGTGGCATCCTCAGATGACCCTTGTGTTCCCTTTGCTTGATTCTCACTGCTGCTCTGTGCAGAGCAGGGCTGTAACTCAGTATTGTGTTTACAAGCTGCCATGGAAGCTACTAAATTAATTAGGCTTCCCCCTGGTGGTGAAGATGACTCACTGATGACCTTAGTAGACAAATTTATACACACACTAACATGCACACAAGGATGTGCAAGTAGAGACAAATACGCATTCATGATGGCACAAAAAAAGACAAATCTTTCACTTGGACATTTTTACTCTGTTGTGGTACACACATACACACCCCTTTCACCAAGTGTGGTCATTAAGTCTGCAGGAAAACGAGAAAATGCCAGATAGCTTTGTTTTCTGTAGACGTGATGATCGGGACCAGGGGAAATCAGCAGCAGGTCTAAATGGGATTATTTTTTTCTATTCCTACCTCTCCTACATAGATTATGTGCAAAATTGTTTAACTGCTTACACTAAAACATATTTGTTGGCATAGACTGCTGCAGTCTGGGTGATCATTCACAATAACATTTAGTACATTTAAAAATTATATTGACCCTTTTCAAAGATTGAACCTATTTGTATTTGAATGCTACCTGTGCATCTTCAGGTTATTCAGTTAACCCTTTTCCTACACTCCTTTGTTTGACCTTTGCAATTTTAAGCTATTGAGGTGGGTAGAGAGGAATTGATGTAAGATTGTATTATTTGAACAGCAGATAAAGTGTGACTGTGTTAAACTGATTACCACGTAGAACTCAGCTTGTCATGGGACTGTAGTTTGAGAATTGTTGTCCAAAGCTATAGTATCTCCATGTATCGTTAGTGTTTCCAAGGAGGACAAAGCATTAGAAGCATTTAGTAGTGGGGTAAGAGTGAAAATGGTTTAGGATCAGTTTAAAAAGGAAGAGAGGAAAGAAATGATGAAGGAAGGGAAGAAAAATGTCACTTCCTATCCCCATCTGCCCAGTGCTAAAAGGAGAGGAAACTGTAATGATGATTATTAGACTGGGGAATATTTTCCCCCCTTTCACTTTTCCGTCTGATTTCCCAGATTCCCCCCATCGCAAAGGCATATGCATATGCGTGTGCGCTTGTGTGTGCATGTGTGTCTCGCTGATGCAATTCTAGGTTCTCCCAAGAAAGCAGGGAATGATGGTCCAAGTCTCTGTTTTATGTTCTTGGCATCAGCTCACCTGCCATGGAAGATTTGTCATTGTTGATACTGTTTCCCATCTTTTCCTTTACACACTCCTCTTGTCATTTTGGGACACCTGCCTTCCCTCTCAGTTTCCACTTTCATTTAAAAGCATAACTCCCACTTACCTTTACCCACTCTATCCTTATACGGAGGTCACACTGGCTCGATAGGGGCTTTCTCTGTCTCACCTACGTGTCCCCTGCTCTCGTTCCACCAGTAGATAATTAGATTGTCCTGGTGCCTGGATGCAGTGCAGCATGTCAATTCCACCAAAATAACTTGCCTTGCCAGCATGCTTCTACTCTAATTCCCTTAAGTGTGTCTGTCTTCTGGTGTGTGTGTGTGTGTGTGTGTGTGTGTGTGTGTGTGTGTGTGTGTGTGTGTGTGTGTGTGTGTGTGTGTGTGTGTGTGTGTGTGTGTGTGTGTGTGTGTGTGTGTGTGTGTGTGTGTGTGTGTGTGTGTGTGTGTGTGTCCGTCCCACATCTGTCTGTAAACGTGTTTGTGTGTAGGCCTGTGTCTCTATCATACTGTCTGCCTGTGTGTCTGTCTACCCACTCCCTCACCATTCTTCAAAGTCAGCCATTTCCTGATGTCGTCAGTGGTGCAGAGCGCTGTGAAGCGTCACCGTGGTGACTGCATCTTGACTGACAGCTGAGTCGGAGGCTATCTGATAACTTCAACCTTCAATTAAATGCTATCTGTGGCTCTGCTTTTCTCCCGAGCACACACTCACACACACATTGATAGGCAGCTGACTGACAGCTCAGCATGTCATTTCCGTTGACCTTCAGACATCTGATACGATGTGTGACATGTCTTTTAAGTTTGTCTCTTGTCTCCACTTTATTCCCTATGTATGTGTATTTGCCAACTGGTATGTGCTGTTGTGGGCAGGTAACTACGTAGTAAGAAATGCTTAGGAGTGAAAACACACATGCGCACACAGACGCCACCGTTGCTGTGCTGACTCTATGAAATGGGACCCTCACTTAGACTTAAGCTGTTGAGCAACTGCTAAACAGGCCTGCCTGAACTGAACTTATATGCATAGGTCTGTAAAGAACAACTGTCCAATACAGCTCTGCTGTTGGTGTTAATGTGGCATTAGTGTTTGTCTGGCGTTTGGGGGCGGGGGGTTGTCATGGTACTTTAGGTTGTTTACCTCTAATGAAATCTTTTTAAAACCTGCAAGCCACAATTTCCCCTCTTCCGCTCCACCTGTCATGTCCAAAATAAGTATTCTTAGAGAAACAGATGTTTCATCCACCCACAAGTCCACATTTTCTGGTTATTAGTGTCTGCTTTGAAGGCAAATGAATGCATTTGAACACTGCAAATTACTTGGCTGCTTAAAACAGCCATGGAGTAGTTGATCAATATAGGTTCTATGCACTGAGTCATTTTTTTGTTGTTCATCAGTGTATTAAAACTAGAAGAAAGGTCCTCATCAACTTTGCCTTGTTGTACAAATTTTAGACTTTAAATGCGGTTTGTCTTTTAAGTCCATATGCTTTACAGAATAAAAAACTTGTAATTAGAACTTAACTAAGACTAATATTAAATATGAATACTGAATATTTGCTCAAATATTAAATGAGACACTTATGCAGTAAAAATTCACAATATTCATAGTATATTTGTGTTTTTCAGTGCTAACAATTAGGATTAAATTTAGTTTGTCTTTCAGTGAATTCTCATGTGGGTGTGGGGGTGTGTGTGTGCGCTTTGACAGGCTTTGAAGAGGGAGGAAAAATTAGCTTCATTGGTCGATGGAGCTTCACTTCGACTGCAATGCACAAAGACTTCAGATACCAAAAAAA